GGAATTGAGGTGGTGGGGGTCCCCAGCCCTCCTCTGTGGCTGCACCAGAAGCCACGTGCCAAGGGGTGATGATTTTGGCCAGCCCTGGGGATGCGGATGTTGCCCACACGTCCCTCAAGGACATCCCAGCAAAGCATGGAGGTGATGCTCAGGAGAGCAGTGGGGATGCCCAGACACTGTCGAAAAGGCCAACATTTGGCACTTTCCCAAAGCACTACTACATCCTGGGTCTGGCACACCCGAAATCCCGTGCCAGAGCGTCACCAGCACACAGCCATAGCTCAGGCCAAGGGCTTGTCATGGTTCCCAGCCACATTATCAAAGGGATGGCAGAAAAGCTGCTGGGATGCTCCTGCAGCACAGAGGAGATGGACCCTGAGGGCAGATAAGAGTCATTATGAGTACAGGAATAAACACCAGTCACAATTCCTCTTGGAAAAGGGAAGAAAATCAAATACCACAGTTCTTCTGCCAATACTCCCCATGCAAAGACGGGGTGAGAAAAAAGTGAGGCATGAGTTTGTAGAAAGAAATGAAAATATTCCATTCACAATTTTTGCTGAAGGGTGGGGATGTAAAAATGTATCAATAAAAAGTAGCCCACATGGGTTGGGAGTAGCCTCTTTTGGTCAAAAGAGGAGGAGGAGGAAGAAAAGGCTCTGCAGCTGTTGTTGCCTTGGGCAGTACTGAGGGCAGCCACTCAGTTCCAAAAGCACAAACCTTGGGACCCTACAGAGGTTTCCACAACAAAGAAAAGCACCTTGTGACAAGTCCCTCCAAGTCAAGCAGAGGGAAGAACCCACCTCACCCACTCCCAGCAATGGGTAAAGGGCTGGGTTTAACCCGAAGCACACACAAAGTTTATCCTCCAGCCTGATCCATGAGCATCAGAGCTAGGGCAGCACACGCCTTGGGAGGGAAACACTAAAGCACTTCTGAAACATCCCCTTCCTATGGGCCTCCATTTTCACAGACATGGATATGAAGATCATCAGCATTATTAACTGTTACCCCAAAGCAGCAACAGCATAAAAACCCTGAAAAAAATCAAATGGAAAAAGATTTTTCTAGGATGAAAGCACTGGTCAAGCACTCAACAACACAGGAAGCTCAGCACCAGTCCCAGCCCCACCACATCCATCCCCAACACGTCCACCCCGGGCTCCAGAGCAAAGCAAACATTCAGGAAAGAGTCAAAGGAAGAGAAGGAACTGGACAGAGAGCCCCAGTGTAACACTTGGCCTGACACCCAGTGCCTGGTACCTGGCTCACCTCTGGTGTGGCCACAAGCTCCTGCCAGGCATCCAGCCCTGGCCAAAAGGATCCAGCACCAAGCAGGAAGGTGTTAAAAGTCCCCAGTCCCAACCTCTGAGGAACCACAATAAATAACCTCTGAGTAAACACAGCGGCTGCTCCCCATTCGCCTTCCTGTTTGCTTTCGCAGATCCGGCCTGGGACGTCCACTTCCAGCTGCTGGCCCCATCCCGTCCGAGCGCAGCAGAGCTCTGGCCATGGCACCGTGCTGGCACTGGCACCCTGCAGCCTCACGTCACGCCTGGGAACCGTCCCTGCCACGGGGGACTGTGGGCACAAGCTTCCCAAAGGGATTTATCCACCGGGACAGGCTCTGATCCTGCATCTGAGCCCGTGCCTGCTGCCTTTTCCTTCCTGGTCTGTGTTTGTTTTGGTTCTAAAAAGAGGAAATCCCAGCTCACCCACTCCCCATCAGGAAGCCATGTCCCCCTCTGTGCCTCAGTTTCCCCCTCTCTCCAGCATGGGAGTCCCACATCACTCAGACCCCACTCTCCCTCCCTCCCCACCCAGCCCTGGCACAAAAAAAAGCAACGGGTCCTGATTTACGGGCACTTCTGTGCTTTACCACGAACACAAAGGAGAGGGAAAAACAACAAGCGGCAAACTCACAGGGAGGATCTGTGTCAGGAGCAACAAGGGGGTCCGGGGCAGCACCCCCGGCAGAGCAGCGCCGGGCACGGAGGCTGACAATAGATAAGGGGCTAAATTCGGCGCTGGGCTCCGGCCCCGGGCTCTGTAAGGCGATCGGGGTGGGGGAGAGCCGGGCTGTTTATTTGGCTCCAAACTCCGCACCGACACTGCAGCGTCACCCGTGTTTAAAATAGGAAGGAACGAAAAGAAGGAGGGGGGGAAAAAGAAATAGAAAATAAATAAAGAAATAAAAAAGGAGAAAAGTGCATGCACGCGTTGAACAATAACAACAAAATTAAAAAAAATCAAGAGAAAAGGAGCCGGGGGAGGGGGGGAAATAAAAGGAAACCCAGTTGGGCTGGCGAGGTTTAAAGCGACGCCTGCTTTAAAAAAAGAAGTTGCTAATTTTAACTCTCCAGTGGAAAGAGTGAGAGGTACTTACAGGAGACAGGGTGGCTGCGTCCTTCTCCAGGGCTGCTGCGCCGGGAGGAAGCGCAGGATGGAGCTGCCATCCCCGGCACCGCTGCCCAGGCCCCCGAGCCCCCCCAAAACCGCGATGGGGGCGCACGGCGGAGACAGATGCGGAGGCAGGAGGGGGCGGTGGAGCCTGCGGGGGGAAGGGAGAGGCCAGAGCTGGCCAGAAGCAGAGCCCGGACTCGCTTCCCCGGAGCCCGGAGCCGGGGCTGGGACACGGGCAGCGCACGCCGCAGGACCCCCGGGAGGCGGCAGCCAGCTGCTGGGTCAGATGACATTTCTGCGCGGACGTTTCTGACCGAGCTGGCTTTTCCCCAAGGGAAAAGGGCTTTGAAGACATTTTTTTTTCCCCGCCAGTGGTAAAATAGCGGATGAGCTCAGAACCCAAAGCGCAGGGCAGAGCCATGACCAGAGAAGGCCACCCGGCTCCACAGGGACTAGAAAGGTGACCTCCAGCAGCTCGGCCACATTTCAGCTGCGGCAAGCACAGCAGGAACCCACTGCTTTACCAAGTTCAGTACTCCATATCCAAAAGGGTCCAGAGTGGGGGTCTGGTTTCAGAGCACCCACTGGCTGGATTTTACAGGCTCTCCCTGGAGACCGGGAGGATCTTGGCAGATGCAAAGAGCCAGGTGAGGTGGCACACTCACACCTCAAGCACGGTGGGAGCCTGGAAGTTGCAAACTCCAGTTGCCAGTGAACGTTCAAGAGAACACAGGCAAGGCCTCAGACAGCAGAGGAACAGACCTGGTGAGCCAAGGGCTCTTCCCAAGCAGCTGGAAATCAGCCTCAGGTTGCAAAAATCTCACCAGGAGAGAAGCAGGGCGGCACAGACCCTGCACGCAGGGACGGACACATGATTTACCGAGCATGGCAAGACAATGTGACCGTCTTCAGGACACGAAAGAGTCGATTCAATTAAGGTCACCGGCCCTAGAAGAGCCTTCTGTCACAGAAGAAGATTTGCCTGGTTTGCCTCAAATGGGGCTGGCCTCAGACAAAATGCCTATTGATCGCAGGCAGCGATGCTGCACGTCCAGGACGCGAGGACGCGGCTTCACTGCGATTAAATCGCCCGGTGCCGGCCGTCACACGCTTCCGAGGCAGGGTCGATATTGCTCCTCTAATTGCTCAGCTCCTGTCACCAGCAGAGCAGAGGGGACAAGTCTTAAAGCAGTCCCCAGAGATGCTTTTCAAAATCCTCCTCCCCAAGAGCACCACTTGCTGAGCTGCTCCTTGGAGCGAGCAGTTCTGCAGTTGCAGAAATCACTAAATTGCTCCTCCCCGCTCACAACTCTGTGCTGGCACCAGTGGCAGTGCCAGGGCTTTGCAGGAGGACACTGCCAACCCAAAACCCAAGAACTTGTGGGAACTAAGAAACAAGGAGCCGTTGTCACTGGTCAGGACGGAGCTGGCAGAGCTGGGCAATCGTGTCTCCAGCAGCAAGCAGGGATGTGGGGGAGAACGCAGCTGCTGAGAGGTCCTGCCACCACCCACCAGCATCCGGGCTGGGGGAGCGAACGCACGCAGTCCATTGGGACCGTGGTGTTTGGGAGCCCCCACACACACCCCACAGCACCCACAGCCATCACCCCAACACTCCCAGTAATCATTCAGCACGCAGAAACACGTGCCCCTTAGCTCGTATTCCTTTGTGCCCAGAGCAAGTGGATCAGAGCTGGTCCCACATCAGCCCCCAGAACACTCCTGGAGCAGCCAGCTCGGCCACAGCAGGACGGACCCAGCCGAGCCCTCCAACCCTCCTGTCCTCTGGCACACCATGGCCCATCGCTGGCACACACCAAGCACCACTGAGACACAGCAGGGCCCTTCTGCTGCACTCCTCAGCCTGGGGAGCTGCTCTTGGTTTCCATCACCAGATGAAGCCCTTGGTGTTGACCTTGCAGAGGACGCAGTGATGCTACCCCCATCTCCCACCACCAGGCCTCCGAATAAATTACCTGCTCCCTCTTCAGCACTAAAAGCCACCACAACCCCAGAAAACTGCTCACTAAGCAGTCGTGACAGAGCCCCCTCCGTTCAGGAGCTGGGGGCATATTATTTTTAAGTCTTTCCTTCTATTGATTTAACTCTCAGGTACAGAAGATGCATTACATGAAATCATAGAGCCCTCATAAACCAGCCCGCGGTGGTGTCTGTACCACAACCTCACTGCAGACACAGGAGACACAAACATTTACTGGAAAAGCAATAAACAGGCCAAGAAGGTTGAAAAGGAAGAAAACCTGGACATGAGGCCCTCTCCCAGCAGCACCTTATTTCAGAGGAATGCAAGGGACAAAATAACAGCAGGTTTGGCCACAAGTCTTGTCCACACCAGGAGAAAACAGGGCAGGAAAACCCTCCATTGCACTGGTACATGGGGCTGTGTTGCAAAACACCCAAAAAGCCCCAAATCAGTGCTGTGGCTACGGCTGGGAGCCATCAGAGCTGTGCCAGATGGGGAAGTGAAGGGGAAGATGGGAGCCTCTGCTTGCTCCCAGCCTGCAGCAGGGGAGACACACGTGGCCAAGCAAACCCAAAGGGAAGGCAGGACCCAGAGTTTGGGATTTCCCCCATACCTGCTACACAGCCTCCTGCATCTTCTGCTCCTGCCAGGGATGAGCTGCAGCCACCGCTCCTCAATCCAACTGCAAAGACAAAGCAAGCAGCCATCAGTCTGAGGGGACAGAGGCAAGGACAGGACTCTCCACATGTCCCATCCAAGCACAGCCAGATGGAGGGAACAGCGAGGGCAGCCCAGTATCCCCTGCAGACCTGGCTGATGGGACAGCCTGCACTGCCCTGATCCTTAGCATCACTGCAAGGGCCATGCAGGCTGGGTGGGACCTGGCCAGGCACCTGCAGGGATCCAGGGAACCAGGAGCCCTGGGGCTAAGCAATGTGGAAAGCATCCCAGTGAGACCAGAGGGAAAGAAATTAAAAAGAGCTCAGCAGTGAAACAAATCATAAACCAAAAGTTAACATTAACAAGGGATGTGGCCCAGGTCAACAGTGCAGCCGGCAGAGAGTTGCTCAAAGTTTAGGTGAACTTTGTGTTTTCTGGAAAGATTCTCATGCACATCCCACAAGAAAAAGCACTGACCCGCTTGCTCAGACACTTTCCCAGGGAATGCACACAGCACATATGCTTTACCTGAGGAGAAACTGCCATGGCCCAGAAGGAAACGCAGCTCCTAAACTCATCCCACTCACCACTGGGAGATGGGAGGGGACCCATGGGGCAAAGCCCAGTGGCTTCAGCCAGCCTTGTGCCGGTCATCTACTGGTGGTCACAACCATCTGGCACTTGTGCAGAGCCCATCACCACAGCATACCCCCATGAGAGGAACGGTGCTGAACAAAAGGGAAACTGAGGCACAGAGGCTAGCACCCACTGTTCAAACGCACCGTGAGCTCCCGAGCTGCAGCCTCACCCCCAGCACCTGCAACAGAGCGAGGAATTGTGCTCAGCTTTCCGGCGTCCTCATCCTCCGCTCCAACCACAAAACCAGCCTTCCTCCCCCGGCTGCCTCCCCTCCCACAGCCAGCTCATTTCCTGACATTACAAAATTCAGCCTGAACGAGGCTGGAGCGAGGAGCGCGTGGCTCCATCCAGGGCTGCACCTTCCTCTCGCTCCTGAGGAGCCGAGCGCAGGGAACACCCCTGAACAGCTCTCCAGCCTCAAACCTCACAGCACCCGTGTGAAACCCCACAGGGCTGGGGTCCTGCTCACAGGGACACCCTCATCAGGACAGACAGACAAGCCTGACTTCCACAACAGGGGAGCAGCAGGGACAAGGATGGGGGGCTCCAGCTACTGCCACACTTGCACCCATTATGCCCAGACCACCCTGCCACCCCCCCACCCAGGAGCACTCCTTTATTTCCCTGGATAAAACAGCGTGTCCTACACAATGGCTGAACACTTGGGGCCAGGGACACCCACAGCAGCAGCACCACCTTGCAAGTGCTCCCAGGCAGGACGAGGGAAGTGGTGATTAATGCAAAGGGTCTCTCAGTGGGCACCTGAACCTCCTCTTGGTGTCCAAGCAGCTCTCGCTGGTCTCAGCACTGCAGTGCCTTGCAGGGCTGATGGCAGAGCCATGTGGGCACTGGGGACCACAGGCTAGGCTGAGAGGAGGATGTGGCCGAGGTCTACACCCAGGCTGGCTCCTGCTTTGAGGGGCTTGGGGTCAGCTCTACAGCCCACTAGGATGCAATGGGGGACATGTGGCCAGGCAAGGCCTCATATGTCTGTAAGCAGAGTTGGTTCCTCTCAGTGGGAGACACCGCTAGACAAGGCAGGAATGTCTGTTTCCACAGGCTCCAGGATGCCCACGGTGCCATGGGACAGCCGCACAGCCACCACTCACAGGCTCTTGTGCTGACAGAACTGCCCGTGGCTGGTGCTTGGCAGCTGTCCCTGGCTCCCACAGCCCACCAGGACAATGTCTGGACCATAGCTGACCCCCGCAGCCCTTGGCCATGCCACAGTCCCCAGATCGTGACAACTAACAGCAGTGCCTCTGCAACCCAGTCTGGCAGAGGAGCTGCCCCTTGTCAGGCCGAGGTGGGGAGCTCCAGGGGGAGCAGGAGTGATCTGGGGGTGTTCAGCCTGCAGCCAGCTCTGACACTGCAGGGCTGCAGCCCAGTGTCACCCAGGACAGGGACGATCAGCACACATGGGGTGACATGGCCCTGAGCCTCACCAGCCCAACAGCTCCACGACTGCTTCACGCCCCACCCAAACTGCAGAAGCCACTGCCCTTTGGACCTGATGGTACATCCAGCACCGACAAACCCCAGTGAACCCCCAAGTCCCCATTTTGCAACATTTTGAGCTGGTACAAAGGAGAAAAGCCCCCACTCAGTGGCACTGCCAGCTCCCTTGTCTTTCCATGCACGTCCTTTGCCCCGCCAAGCCAATATCCTGGCACTGCTCCCAGGAACTCTGGAGTATTTCAAAAGGTGACCAATCGACCTGCAGTGAGAGCAAGGCCCTGCTGAGGGGCTGGGGCTGGATCAGGCCACTGGCCACCTCCAGGGCTCCTGGGGAGTTCCCAGCTCTCACCCCACGACATTTGTGCCTTCGAAGCTTTCTTGTTATAAACACAGAAATGCTGCCCATGGAAGAGAGAAAGTACCATGTTTTCAAAATGTTCTGTTATTTTGTAAGCTGAGGAGAAAAAAACACATAGGGGAGGAATGGAGGTGGCAAAGTCAAGTGAATTCCCCTTTCAAAGTGAAAAAAGAAGGGGAGAGAAAGGGGTAAAGACAAGACAATCTTTATGTCCAGCTTTGGGACAGAAATGCTGAGCAGGTGCTAACACTGTCGCTATTTGAAAACCAAAGCTTTGGTTTCACCAAGTAACAAACCAAAATTCCTGAGGGCAGGAGAATGAGGGGAACCTCCTGGGACCCCCATTTCTAACTGACGCAGTTAGGCTGGCACAACCTGCCTAAGGCAAAGGCAGCAGATGCTGGGAACTGCTCCAACCTGCCCATAAAGATCCTGGAGAATGTGCAGGATTGGCTTTTGGTGACTTCCCTGGATATCTGCTCAGTTGATGCTTAGCAGCCCCTGTGCCACAACCAGTCTTTGCTTACACCCTCAAACACATATATATATATTCCCACATATATAACTCCCCCAAAATATATATTCCCATACACATAGCCCTCTCAAAATACACATATTCCCAGAGATGTAACCTACCAAATACATATATATATATATATTCCCATATGTATTGATAAACCCCAAGTATATATTCCCACTTATATAAATCCCAAATATATACAACCCCTGCCTACATCACATATACATATAATACCCCAAATAAATAATCCATGGCTGCTGCCATGGAGACTTCCAAGCACACAGCTGGAAAGTCAAGGGGAGATGGATGGGCAGAATAACCAGCTTTGGAGCTGGAGAGACCAAGAAGGAGGCGCAGATTGCGGGGGGGAAGAGCTGTGACCACAATCTCTCCTTCCTCTTTTTTCATGTTTCCTCTAGCAACGAGCTCGGGGCTGCAAACATTTGGATGACAAACCCAAACTTCCCCACCTCAGGCTCCCAACCCAGCCCACCACTCCTCTTCCAGGTGCTCATGAATTCCTGCCCCAAACCCCATTTCCCAGAGCTGTGCCATGTAACTCTCAGGGAGTCCCAACAACAGCAAGGAGCAGACAAAATTTTAAAAAAGAAAAAAAAAAAATACTTTCTCCATTTTTCTCCATTTCCCCAGCCCACGAAACTAAAGCATCTCAGCCATGGCGCAGCCTTCAGTTTGCACCAGCCACTGGGAATATCCCCAGAGTTTAATTAGACCTGTTAAGCCTTTTCAGTTGGGTTTCCTCTGGCTTGACACCAAGAGGTGGGGAGAAAACAAACTGAGAGAGATCTCACTCCAAGCAGGAGCATCAGGCAGGACAGGCTGAAGGAACCCCAGCTCCCAATCATCCAGTGGTGCCAGAGTCACAGCAGCACAGCACCTGGGGCTGTGGAAAGGGGCACAGGTGGGCAGCAGGAGGAGGAAATCCACCTCCAGTGGCACAGGAGGCTCGAGCAATGACCAAGGAACTGGTCACAGGCCAGCTGTGCCAGGGGCACATGCAATGGGCAACATGCAGGGTGTGAATGCCAGCACTGGAGCTCCTCCAAACCCCACATGGGGTTGGGCTGAAAGTACCCCAGACCCAGGGTAGGAATTGTGGGGCTCATACCCTGCTCCACCAGGTCACCTCCCAAGGGTCCCAGGGTAGGAATTGTGGGGTTCACACCCTGCTCCACCAGGTCACCTCCCAAGGGTCCCAGGGTAGGAATTGTGGGGCTCACACCCTGCTCCACCAGGTCACCTCCCAAGGGTCCCAGCACGGGACCAAGTCCAGCCCCTGGATTTGGGCAGGGGAGCTGGAAGGCACTCTCTGTGCTGGCTGAGCCACGCTCCAGGGAAGGTCAGAGCAGCACAGCTGTCGCTGCAAGTGTTGCAACAGCAGCTGCTGGCCCTGCCAGGACCTAGGGGACATGGGGGGTGTCGGAGGGGTGGCACAAGCGCAACCGTTGGAGCCACTGAGTTTCACTCTCGCTGGCTGAGTTCCCCTTGGGCAGCAGAGATGCAGAACTGAAACCTCCAGCTGTATGGACGTGGGGGCGGCTGGAGCTGCAGGAGGGCTGGGGACCGGCACAGCTTTCAGAGCAAAGCCACGCACCACCACACCAGTGACCAAGGGCTGCTGGGGGACCAGGGGAAGCAAAAGATGAGAGGCAGACAGGGGTTTCCTCTGGCTCACAGCGCCCATCTTGCTTCTGCCCTCTCTGCACAGCTGGGCCACCCATCTCCTTGTGCCCAGCACATCTGGTGGGAGCAGAAATACCCCCGGGCATGCAGGTACTTACACCTGCCATGTTCCACCAGCCTATCCAGGGGCTCACACTGCTGCAGGACACTGCAATCCCAGTCCATTGGGCAAGTGCTGGTCAGCAGGACCACGACTGCCTGCATGGAGTGGTCCCAGCACCTCCTAGCACAGGGAAACTGAGGCACAGAGAGGGTAAGTAAACCACAGAGCTGGACACAAAAGCACTCCCCCAAACTCGTTTCCTCCCCCCAAGCAAGCCACTCACCTCCCTCCTTGTTCCAGCCTGCTGAAAAAAGGAACAGCCCAAAACTGACCCCAGAACCCCCAGGGACATAATGGGGCTCCCATGAGAGCACAGGGACACCAAGATGTGGGAGCACCCAGTGCTTGCCCTCCTCACCCCAGCCACAGTGACAATGCTTCATGGCACATTGCCACCTGCTGGCACCAGCCCTGGGGAGCCTTCCTTGAGGGGGACAGCAAGTGGCTCTGTGCTGGGTATCAGGTCTGGGTCCAGGTCCAATGGGCCACTGCCACATCCAATTGGAGCAGCCACTGCTCACTTTCCTGAACTGATTTTATCCTACTTCACGGCAACCTGAGACCCTGCACATGCAACCCAAACCCATCCTAGAGGTGCTGAGAGGTGCCCCCACCCTGCTCACACCCCCCATACCCTCTGGAGCATCAGGTGAAAGTGCTGCTCCAGAGGTGCAGGAGACCTCACAGCAGCAGTGACAGCTGCTCCAGATCTGCATTTCCAGCTCCTGCTGGCATTTCCAAGGCGGAGGTAAAGCAGAGATGGCAGCATCATCTGTTTTGTCCCCCAGCCTCCCCACAAACGCTTCCTGATGCCCCAACAACCTCTCCTGTCTGTTGCTGCCTCTCCCCAGAGACCACAGATCCAGCTCTCACGTGTCTCTCAGGCCTGCTCTCCCTTCTGTCTAATGGGGGGACCGATCCTCTGCCACTGCTCCTCAGCCATCCATGCATCCAGCCACCCACATTTCCCACCCACACAAACCCCACCCGAGGCACAGGGGAGTGGAAATCCTACCTGCACACATGCTGACACAC